CCTTTTTTTTTCTTCTTCTAACATTGGGTTGACCCAGAGACGTGCCCCAGCAATCTTCCCTTTTATCGCACTTTCTTATTGCTGTTTGTTGTGTGTTGATTGAAGGCTTACAATGTAGCCTTTTACTGTTTTCTATGTAATTGACATTACATTATCCTTTTCGGCCACTGTACCAGCTGCGTCTGGACCGCTTTATTTTGATGACTTGGCATGCCTATTTTGTTTAACCTTGATAAATAAAGAGTTAAAGTCTTATTTTAAAAAGCTTCTAATTTACTGAATGTGGATATAGATTGTCAGTCCCTAAGGGAAAACAGCAAAGTATTAAAAAAAAAAAAAGCTCATTAGATTTCCCAATAAATTGCAGGCTTTGGTACACTGTTTGAAAATGAATTGGCAGCTCCTGAACCCCAAACAGCAGCATAGTATGTTATAAGTAGAACCACGGAGTGCAGTCTACTGAGTAAACTGGGTGTCTACTGAAATAATACTTTAGCAGTCTAACATTTTAATTGAGTCATTACCATGTTCAGAGTAAGTTGAGGTTGATGTTAATTTCCTGTGATGCTCCAGCTCAGCTGACTTCACAAACCAACCCTACAACTTTAGGATCTTATGACTAGCCTGTTGCAACCTCTGCAACTTGTGCCACAAAAAAAGGTAATAATTCACAGCATATTTATTAGCGTTTTCTGGTCATCTGTAAACTTGCTAGAAATTAGCACAAACATTAATTTCGATTTTACATTTAAAATATATAAACTCAGAATTTAGGTCTTGCTTTAAATTGTTATCTTAAACAGACTCAGAGGCTGTCATGTTACACAAGTAGAATAAAGTCACACCAAATCTACATCTTAGGTTCAGTCTTGAGGGTTGAAAATGTTTAGGCCAGTTCCTACTGTTTCTGTAGATTGTGCAGATAAGATGGTATCACATGATTAGAGAGTATGGAAAGTTAAAATGCACTATAAAGTCTATATGCTTACTTGATGAAAAAGGAATCTCTTGTGAGCCTGATTCTAGAAGAACAATTACACACCACATATGTATACAGTATAACAATTTTGCAAGTCTTTGCTACTTTACTTGTGCTCTGAGTGTTCCTTCTTGACCCTGTCCTATATGCTAAACAGAGACAGTATTCATTAGAAAGATAACTATATGGCTAACATGACATGTAAATATAATACTAAACCTAGGACTACTTGATTGTTTTTGATCATATCTCTTAATTCAAGAAACCTATGGGAGGTAAAGAAGGTCCAGGGTCACTGTTACAGCTGTTAGCCTCCATGCTGACCTTGTTAGTTCTCTTTGTTCCCTTCCAAGGCTGCTTCTTAGAATTTAATTTCCTAACAGTCCTTGAATATATAATAGTCCATGTTATATATAAAAAGGAGATAGTTACTGAACATTACAGCAGGTCAGGCACATAATTATTTCATAAGCAATGAATCTACGGCTCTGCCTCTGTGTCCTGCTACTTGCATTTGTAATACCTAGTTGTTGCCAGGGCATGGAGGCCTCTGATGTTGGCGTAAGATTATGTGGAAGAGATTTCATTCGGACAGTTGTCATGTCCTGTGGAGGATCAAGATGGAAAAGATATTCACCAGAGCCTGGACAGGAGAGATCAAATCCCAACCGTAAGTAGCGAAAGTTTTTTTTTCCTTTCTTCATGCACTAGACCAGTGGTTCTCAACCTTTCTAGGGCCGGGACCCCTTGGTAACATTTGCCAAGTTATGGTGACCCCCAACGGTAAAATGTAGGGATGACGCGGCTGCTGCAGCAACATCTGGCTGTGTGGCGGGAGAACTGACACTGCTGCACTAGGAGAGGGCTGAGGAGGACTCTGACCTAGCACAGCAGAAATCACACAGCGACCCACAGCTTGAGAACCACTTGCGTACGCCGTCAGAATGAAAAAGAAAACACCATAGGAATGCATAGCTAGATTCCTATTGGCTATTTCACTTTGAAATAGCCAATACCAAACTAGTATTGGCCAAACAGTACTAGTAAACCTTTCCGGGAGAAAGCATTTCTCTCCCGGGCGGCCGGGAGCTGCTATCTAATAGTGTGAGACTCCCAGGCGACATCTGGCAAATCATCATTCGACCCCCGACGTGGTCGCGACCCACAGGTTGAGAACCGCTGCACTAGACAGAGGTTCTAACTCTTCTCTACAAGGCCAGATTTACCTCAGATTTACCTCTACAAGGCCAGATTTACCATTAGGCACATGAGGCCTATACTTATAGATGGCAAAGTATTGTAGAGATAAGCATTTTATTCCCATTATGAGCAATACTGCAACTATGTCATATTCATTTATTTACACATAGTTATGATATTTTAGACCAGCTGAGGACCAGTGTATCAATAACAAATTGTGTGTAGCCAAGGGGTGTCATTTTTAACTCCACAGGCTCCAGGGATGGCAATCAGGCACCAATACTCTATAAAAGGTATTATATTTATTTCTGTCTGTGTTCCTGTGTTTCCTGGAAACATTACAGAAAGTTGGCAAAAAAACGTTCTAGTGATGACACAGACAGCAGTAAACAGCTGACAAACATTTTAATATCTCCCTCTTAAGCATCTTAAGCAGAAACTCCACCTTTACGGCAAAGCATTGCAATGCAGAGCAGTGAAAAACTAGACTTTGCACTAGTGTATATTACATGTCTTGTCCCTGTGCAAGCCACTAAAGTATAGAGAAAGCGAGTCAAACATTCTATATGCTTTGAGTTAGACAATGTTGGAGTTGTCGATCCCCTCCCTCACGTGACAGTGTTTAGGCCTAGCAATTGGCCATTTAGGCTTGAGCAATGCAGTTTTGTAACTCTACGGGCAGGCAGATGTAAATTAACTTTTGCCCGTTTACATCTGATTACCCCCGACTCCATCTAGGTCTGGGGGAAAAAAAATGAAGCAGTTTTGGTGGACCTGATTGTGATGGATCTGAGCTTATTGGATGTAAAAGAAAGCATTTGTCCACTTTCATTTGACTGCCCATGGTTAAACATGGGTCCGGTTAGTTCAATTTTAAACTCTATCTTGTGATTTAGTTAAGACTGGAAAGACAAGGATGCCACAAGAGTGACATTTGTTCCAAAACTGCTCCAATCAGCAGGTATCTATGCACGATTGGAACAGATGAAACCCATGTGAAAGGGGCCTTAGAGAGACATAAATGGGTTGAAAAGAAACTTGATTGGATGGCTCATTATTTACATGGACACCTCATAGGAACATGCAACATTACTACATGCCTCCCTTAAATCTCAGGTGTGTCATCTCTTGTGATCAAGCAGGGATACTTCTGATGATTGGTGAAAGATTATATACAGAAATATAAAAGTGTAGCTGAGGCCAAAAACTTTTTTTAGTTTTGGGATACAGTGGAGAGGGATTAGAACCCCTGTCGGGTTCTAATTGCTGTCTGTGTCCCCTTGAAAGTGAGAGAAAATACCAAATTGTGGGTTGTCATCAGAACAGGAATAGATGGGAAATCTTCCAATGGGGACACTACGGTAGTTCTGATGGCCCTGCTGACCACCAGGGATTTCTCTCACTTTGAAGGAATTTCCTCTCTTCCTGTTATGGCTATGGGACAGGAAGTCAAGGGAAATAAAAACAACAAAACAAGAAGCCAACAGGGGTTATAACTGCCTTACTGTATGAAAAAGTAAAAAAAAAAAGCTTTGGCTTTAGTTCTACCTTTAACTGTGACAGTTCTGAGCAGTGGTGTTACTACTGCTATAGTGACCCACGCGTTTGCTATGGGGCCGGGGCAGAGGGGGGCCTGGTCAGGAGGTCGGGGCCCAGCAGTGGAGGTGGAGGAGGCGAAGGCCCAGCAGTGCCAGTTCGGAAGCGGAGGATGAGGCCAGAGCCCAGGAGGTGCGCTCGGCAGGATCTCATGTGGGCTCCGTGGGGGTCTATGGTGGGCTATGCAGGTTCTCAGATGGGCCCTGCGGTGTCTATGGTGGGTTCTGCAGGGTCTCAGGTGGGCTCTGCAGGGTCACTCTCAGGTGGGCTGTGTGGGGTTTCAGATGGGCTCTACAGGGTTCCTGGTATGTGCTGGACCTCAGGTGGGCTGTGCAGGGTCTATGGTGGATTCTGCAGCGGAGTGATCTCTTCTTCGGCTCTGATTTTAGAGCCATCAGGAGCAGAGCTGATGAGAAGGAGACAGCGCAGGCACGGGAATGTGTTCTAGAGGCAGGCACTTTTTTTTGCATTTTTTGGTGGGGTATAGAAAATTTTGCTATGGGGCCCTTACAAAATTTTGTTATGGGGTCCTGTGATTTCTAGTTACGCCCCTGGTTTTAAGATAACATTCTGTATCACAGTTGGTAACAGATTATACATGGTGACAAATTAAATATAGTGACAAGTCTTGATTACATTCAGTGACAGATTATATACTATGAAATTTGGGGCAGGGGGGTACAGTTTATTACTTTCTTAGCTAACCATTACATTCCTTTGGTACAAATAAAAGTGATTTGTTATAGGTTGGATGCATTTAAATACAATGGAAGAATTCATAAAAACTGGAGTAGACAGAATCTGGGGCAGTTGCCTATGGCAACCAATCAGCTTCTCTCTTGCATTTTCAATGCTTAACTGAACTAAAGAGAAGCTCATTGGTTGCCATAAGAAAACTGTCTGCTCCAGTTTTTATGAATTCCCCCCAGTATGATGTGCAACTGAAGGCCCACTCTGCAAAGAGACACATTGACACTGATTTAAGTTTCCTATATATTCACAAATATATGCAAAATAAGTTTTTATGAAAATATTTCATACATGTTTTAATTAGGTTTCTTTTCTGGGTTACTCGACTAATTGTAGGAGATCTTTTAAATGTTTTCTACTTTCATATTATGCAGCATTCTAGCTGGCTATCCATTGATTGAGCACTTGAAGAGGCCTTCAATAACATAGTACAGACAAAATATATGTGCTTAGAAGAAAACTGTACTGAGAGAAATATGTAGTCTCCAACTGATGACCTCCTTCTGAATATGTTTGTTGCCTGCGGCTTTTCAGACTCACTAACCTGAAACAAATATGTATACAATGTAAGGCTAGCTATACATTTTATTAAGCTCCGTGTGCTCCTTACAAATGACAGCTGCCTCCTAATTTTTGAATTTTTCTCTAGTCTAGTCTTGGAGCTCAAAAGTATCGGTACTTGCACTTGTACTTGTACCGAGTACTGTACTTATTATCTGTGCATCAGAGTTTACTGCAGTGCAGTGTAAAAAACCGGCACAGTACTTGTACATTCAGTTGGTGGGAAAAGTTCCTCTTCAAGTCATTGTAGCATCATAATGTCCAGGCAACTAGCAACTACTTTGTTGGCTTGTGAAACACATTCAAGAAATTTGATGTCTCATATATACTGGATGGTTGCAATTCCTGTCTCTGGAAATGTGTTTTGTAAAACTCCAATGGAGATTGTAATAGTGGAAACGTTTGCACTGTATAATGACCATTGTTGCCTTGATTTCCTTTTAGGTGACTTTTTGAACTGGCTAAACAGAGCCTCCTTGGAGGACCCAGATCGACTGAATTCATTGTATGCAGACAGCCACATAGCCCCAAATCCTCCTTACGGTGCTCTGCAGAAGGATGACCCGACAATGGATCAGCTCCATGGCGCCCTTTATGATCCACTTGTGGCTGAGGAGCAGCAAGGTGTTGGACTGCGAATGAAGAGAAGTGCTGGACCAGCATTATCCTGCTGCCAAAGGGGCTGCACCAAGAATGAGCTCATGAAGTTCTGCTAACATTTGTTTTATTTTGTATACTTCCTTGAAAATCCTGCACGGCAAGCACTGCTAACATTTAGCTTTATTGTAGTGCACTTCCAATGTCTCTTTTGAAATTCTGAGGCTCAAAAGGCCTAGATACAAAACTATATTTAAACCTGATTTACTTTTAGTAATACCCTGCCCCCTAGCTTAGTACTAAAGATATAGCATTCATGTTATGACATGATATCATGATTTATTGTTCATATCATATACAGAGCATTACTGTATGTAATACAACAAACAGAAATAATACTTGACAAATCAATTTACAGCCTGTGATGTGTCGTCTTTGGATATCTTACTTCTATACACATATCCTAACTCTTATGTTTTTCATTTCTAAAAAGATAATTCATCTAAACTGTGATTTATTCTGCCATAATCTGGTGTAAACAAGAGAATAATCAATTGCAGCTCACCTTACAAATATGAGCTTTGCTGTCCATTACAGCTGCAAATAAAAAGCATGTTGAAATATATACATGGAATGTTAAAGCCCAACTCCAGGTAAAAGGATTTTTTTGGTTAGAGTAGGAACAGTCCCAGTGCCAGAAATGACCTTGCATGTTACTGGGACTGAAAGTGGGAGGACATCTCTCCTCCAGAGATATAAAAAGTAGTAACAAGACCTTTTTTAGCAGATATCTTTATTACTGTCTGCGTCGCCATTTTGGAGTGATAGGGCCTTTGTCAACTGCCTTCTTTTCGGATTCCGCCAGGTTTTGCATACTTATACATGTTTATGGGAAATGCAAAACCCACTTGAAGCAGGTCAAATGTAAGTCACTAGGAGGTCCTGGGGGAACCTGTCTTAAAAGCATTTCAAACTGATTTCATCGACACAATCCCAAAGCCCATTGACTCAGGCCCATACCCTGACATCTGGTTCCAGTGACACTGTTTATCAGGGTGTCACTGAGGCTGAAAATGGGGGGAAATTCCCTCAACAGGCACACAGCACTACAGGGCTGACAGGGGCTCTAACCCCCCCCCCCCC